GACCGGGAGCCTGGCGCCCGCCGGGCGCAGTCGCGGCATGGAGCTGTGAGCTCCCGCGCCCGCGCGAGGGTGTCGGCCCGGGGCCCCGCCATGGCTGGGAAGGACAGTGGGAACCTGAAGACGGTGAGGCTGTGGCGGGACGCCGCCCTGCGCGCCAGGAAGCTGCGGAGCAACCTGCGCCAGCTCACCCTCAGCGCGGCCGGGGGCTGCCCGGGGGTCGGGGCCGACCAGATCGACTCCCCCGACGCCCCCCAGCTCGTGCTGCCGGCCAACATCGGGGACATTGAGGTGCTGAACCTGGGGAACAACGGCCTGGAGGAGGTGCCCGAGGGGCTGGGGTCGGCGCTGGGCAGCCTGCGCGTCCTGGTCCTGCGGAGGAACCGCTTTGCCCGGCTGCCCCCGGCGGTGGCCGAGTTGGGCCACCACCTCACCGAGCTGGACATGAGCCACAACCGACTGACGGCCCTGGGCGCGGAGGTGGTGAGCGCCCTGCACGAGCTGCGCAAGCTGAACCTCAGCCACAACAGCTGCCCGCCCTGCCCGCCCAGCTGGGCTCGCTGGCCCACCTGGAGGAGCTGGATGTCAGCTTTAACCGGCTGGCGCACCTGCCCGACTCCCTCTCCTGCCTCTGCCGCCTGCGCACCCTCGATGTGGACCACAATCAGCTCACCGCTTTTCCTGGGCAGCTGCTGCAGCTGGCTGCCCTGGAGGAGCTGGACGTGTCCAGTAACCGGCTCCGAGGCCTACCTGAGGGTATCAGTGCCCTGCGTGCCCTTAAAATCCTCTGGCTGAGTGGGGCCGAGCTTGGCACCCTGCCTGAGGGCTTCTGTGAGCTGGCCAGCCTGGAGAGCCTCATGCTAGACAACAACAGGCTGCAGGCTCTGCCCGCCCAGTTCAGCCATCTGCAGAGACTCAAAATGCTCAACCTCTCCTCCAACCTCTTTGAGGAGTTCCCTGCCGCGCTGCTGCCCCTGGCTGGCCTGGAGGAGCTCTACCTTAGTCGCAACCAGCTCACCTCAGTGCCATCCCTGATCTCAGGCCTGGGCCGGCTCCTCACCCTGTGGCTGGACAACAACCGGATCCGCTACCTGCCGGACTCCATTGTGGAGCTGACGGGCTTGGAGGAGCTCGTGCTGCAGGGCAACCAGATCGCTGTGCTGCCGGACAACTTTGGCCAGCTCTCCCGGGTGGGCCTGTGGAAGATCAAGGACAACCCACTGATCCAGCCGCCCTACGAGGTCTGTATGAAGGGGATCCCCTACATCGCAGCCTACCAGAAGGAGCTGGCCCACTCCCAGCCGGCAGTTCAGCCCCGCCTCAAGCTGCTCCTGATGGGCCATAAGGCTGCCGGGAAGACCTTGCTCCGGCACTGCCTCACTGAGGACAGAGTGGAGGCAAGTGAAGGAGGGGACAAGGAGAAGGGCTACTCACCTCCACCGCCGCCCGCGAGCAAGGGCATCGAGGTGACCAGTTGGACAGCCGATGCTTCCCGGGGCCTGCGGTTCATTGTGTATGACTTAGCTGGAGATGAAAGCTACGAGGTGATCCAGCCCTTCTTCCTCTCCCCGGGGGCCCTTTATGTGCTGGTGGTGAACTTGGCCACCTACGAGCCACGGCGATTTCCTACCACCGTGGGCTCCTTCTTGCATCGGGTGGGGGCCCGCGTGCCTCACGCAGTGGTGTGCATTGTGGGCACGCACGCAGACCTGTGTGGGGAGCGGGAGCTGGAGGAAAAGTGTCTGGACATCCACCGCCAGATCGCCCTGCAGGAGAAGCGCGATGCTGAGGGGCTGAGCCGCCTGGCCCAGGTGGTGGACGAGGCGCTGGCCCGCGACTTCGAGCTGCGCTCAGCCAGCCCCCATGCCGCGTACTATGGTGTTTCAGACAAGAACCTTCGGCGGCGCAAGGCCCACTTCCAGTACCTGCTCAACCACCGGCTGCAGATCCTCTCCCCGGTGCTGCCTGTGAGCTGCAGGGACCCCCGCCAGTTACAGCGCCTTCGGGACAAGCTGCTCTCGGTAGCTGAGCACCGGGAAATCTTCCCCAACTTACACAGAGTCCTGCCCCGGTCCTGGCAGGTGCTGGAGGAACTGCATTTCCAGCCCCCTCAGGCACAGCGGCTTTGGCTGAGCTGGTGGGACTCGGCACGCCTGGGCCTGCAGGCAGGTCTGACCGAGGACCGGCTGCAGAGCGCCCTGTCCTACCTGCACGAGAGCGGCAAACTGCTCTACTTTGAGGACAGCCCAGCCCTCAAGGAACACGTCTTCCACAACCTCACCCGCCTCATTGACATCCTCAATGTCTTTTTCCAGAGGGATCCTTCCTTGTTGCTGCATAAGCTGCTCCTAGGGACCAACGGAGAGGGCGAGGGAGACGGGGAAAGCTCCCTCGTAATGGCACTGCCACCGCCGAGCCAGGACCTGCTCCCGGCCACCCAGCTCCATCATTACGTGGAGGGCTTTCTGCTTCACGGGCTCTTGCCGGCCCATGTCATTCGGTTGCTGCTTAAGCCTCACGTCCAGGCCCAGCAGGATTTGCAACTGCTGCTGGAGCTGCTGGAGAAGATGGGACTCTGCTACTGCCTCAATAAACCCAAGGGCAAGCCTCTGAATGGGTCCACGGCCTGGTACAAGTTCCCCTGCTACGTGCAGAACGAGGTCCCCCACGCAGAGGCCTGGATTAACGGGACCAACCTGGCCGGGCAGTCTTTTGTGGCTGAGCAGTTGCAGATTGAATATAGTTTTCCCTTTACCTTCCCACCTGGGTTGTTTGCACGCTACAGCGTCCAGATCAACAGCCACGTGGTGCAAAGGTCGGACGGGAAACTTCAGATCTTTGCATATCGAGGGAAAGTTCCTGTGGTGGTGAGCTACAGACCCGCCAAGGGGGTCCTGCAGCCAGATACTCTGTCCATCGCCAGCCATGCATCATTACCAAACATATGGACGGCATGGCAAGCCATAACCCCCTTGGTGGAAGAACTGAATGTCCTACTTCAGGAATGGCCTGGACTGCACTACACCGTGCACATTCTCTGTTCTAAGTGCCTTAAGAGAGGGTCGCCCAATCCACACGCTTTCCCGGGTAAGTGGAGAGAGGGATGTGCGTCTTCTGTGCTGTGTTTTGGAATGCATTTCTTTAGAAGATTTTTGTTTTTCCTTTGTAAGATGTTTAACCTCACAGGCTTCCCAGGAAAGCTCAAGGTAAATACAAGGGGGTTTGGGGACAAGCAAAAGGCAGTAAGTACATGAGCAATATGGCATACAGTCTCCAGTCTCATACTCTCGTACAAGAGAGATTCAGACTTCCCAGGTGGGTTCTAGTCAAAACATGTGAGTCTCCTTTATTCCCCTCTTCCCAGTTGAGCCCGCCTTTCATGGGAGGAAATGTCAGGTAGCTGGTGTTTGAGGTTAGTCTCTTGCTGAACTTGGGCTTTAATGCTTATTAGACACACCCGGAGGGTTTGAGATGCTCGAGTTTGACATGTCATTGCCATTTTTGTTTGTTTGTTTAAATTCAGAGAGTGCCGTCATAAAGTAAAAAGTATAGCTCACTTTTCTTAAGAAATTCCAGAGAAGAATGTTTTGTAATCGGGTTTGGATTAGTGAAGACAGTGATACTGATACTCATGATGAATTAGTGAAAACAAAACTTTCAGTCTGTAATGCATGACTAACTCCTGGGATCGCAGTTTCACTCACCACACTCGTGGGCAGGAACCGCAGCCTACTGAGCTCTCTCGGGACTTTCCTCGGGCACTTCCTGGCAATTTGGTGCTTTACAGATGTTTTAAGGTGTTTTTTTGTTTGTTTGTTTTTTTTGTAAGTGTTAGAGAGTGGAGCTTTTTGGAAGTACTTTGTAAGAGATAGAAGAGACAAAATATTGCCAATAATTTTTTTCTCTTCTGGGAAATGTTTCCTTCCTTCCTTCCTTCCTTCTACCTTCTACCTACCTACCTACTTACTTACCTACCTACCTACCTACCTACCTACCTACCTACCTGAACCATTGTAATGAATGGGAGAACCCAGGACAAGTTGTCTGGGACTTCTGATTCTGCTTAATTGGCATCCTGAGCGTTCAGTTTGGACTCTGTCCATTTCCCACATGTGAAGGCATTCTTTGGAGCAATTCTTTAAACATCTCAGATATTTGTGGAGCACAGGCTTGGCTAACAACATTCCAAGTATCCTGAGGACAAACCTAATGATAGTATCATTGCCAGTTTCTCCCCTCGGCCCCCCACCCCCAGAGCACATTGAGAGGTGATGAAATAGAAGACTGTACCACTGTGATCTTTGTCCTGGCTGACGCAGCTCGTCATAGTGTCGGGAAGGAACCAGACACCAATATTTCCGAAGGTAACATCTTCCCCTCGCCCTAGATCTAGGCTGAGTTTAATTCTTCAACTTGAAAAAAAGCCTTCGTATTCAGTTACCTGTCAACTGAGCTGTCCATTCTGTATGATTATCTGGTGTCTTCTCACAGTCCAAGACTTGGTAGATGCTTCAGTTCGTTTTATGTTTGCCATTGTGTTTTCTTCCCGAAAGCAGATACTTCTCTATTGTCTAACGAAATTGAATGAAGTGGTTGAGAGTTACATATTCACAGAGTAGCTGATTGAAGGAGCTAACGAAAGCCAATTCTTAATCCAGATGGAACATTCATACAACTAAGGTTATTAGCAACAAAGGGAAAGGCATAGGTTATTGAACAAGTAAAAATCTGTGCAGAGGAATTCCAAGAACTTTGAGGAGTAAACAATGAGGCTGGAATTTTTGTCTCCTAACCTCAGCTGTTTATTTTTGGTAATAGTCAAAAATTCCACAAACAGGTCCATTCTCGTTATCATTTGGCCTATTTGCCAGTTAAAGGAGGCACAACTGGTTTGCCATCCAGGCTCTAAGGAAGAGATGATTTTTTCCTCAACAAAGAAATGGTTGAAAATTGTAAATTATCTTATATATTGAATAGGAATAAATTACCAGGTGTTTTGATAATATAGACTGTCTATTTCTATTTTATTTATGGGCAGAGAAATAAATTATCTTTTTGTTTTGTTTAGGATTCTATTCTAAAAGTAGCAGAGGGCACAAAAGCTGTAGAAAAAGGTGATTGTAGTACATTCATTACATTAAGACAACAAGGAAAAAATACATTTTCCTCTTTCATATTTTTCTGCGATAGCCATCATCTGCTAGTATTTGCCACATTTCCAAAAGATTTGGGAATGCCTTCCAGTGGTTGGCAAACTGCGGCTCGCGAGCCACATGCGGCTCTTTGGCTCCTTGAGTGTGGCTCTTCCACAAAATACCGACTTCTGCTCATGGGCCACGAAGTTTCAATCGCACTGTACATGCGCGCCCACACGTGGTATTTTGTGGAAGAGTCTGAAGGGTTGTGGGTTCGATTCTGGTCAACGGCAGATACCTCGATTGCAGGATTGATTCCCTGGTCGGGGCACATGAGGGATGTGTCTCTCTCACATCCATGTTTATCTCTCTCCGCTCTCCCTCTCCCTTCCATTCTCTCTAGAAATCAGTGGAAAAAATATCCTCAGGTGAGGATTAAGAAAAAAAAAAGATTTAGGAAGAGCTAAAGTAATAAATGGGTCGAGTGACAGAAAATTCGAATGAGGCCAGTAATGAGCCTAAAGGTCAGGTGTGGGAGCCTTCCCCTGCTTTCTGCAGGCTCTGACCGGACTGCCAGCTTCCAACAGCCAGGCTTCCCTCCCCCTTACTTGTCTGGGTGTTCTGGAGTAAGTTTCTTCTTGTGTGATATTTATTTGTTCTGTTCTTTTTTTTAAAAAAGATTTTATTTCAGAGAGGAAGGGAAAGGGAGAGAGAGATAGAAACATCAATGATGAGGAAGAATCATTCACTGGCTGCCTCCTGCACTCCCCCCACTAGCGACCAAGCCCACAACCCAGGCATGTACCCTGACCAGGAATCGAACTGTTGACCTCCTGGTTCATAGGTCGATGCTCAACCACTGAGCCACGCTGGCCGGGCATCCTCTGTTCTTTTCTACCAATATGGCAGAAAAGCTGAACACTCCTGAGGTTGGGTATGTGGATTATTGAGGCCAGGACATAGGCCTACAGCAAGATTCTAGTGCTTTGCTATTCCATGTAAGCAGTTGAATGAATGCTGTGTGTTTTTAAATTGAAAGAGTGCATCTTAATGAGTCGAACTTGGGTTCAGTGTAGTTTTTCACTAAACATCCTACTCTCCAGATTATTAAAGGTTATTTTTAAGGATAATTGGGAAGCAACCCAAAGCAGGTAGACAGAGCATTGGTACATGGTCTTTAGATTTGGTTTCTTCCATTCGCTAGTTAACTCGATGCCTTTGCACATCTCCGGTCAAGTCCCTTTTGCCTGAGTTCAAGTTCTCGCCCACGGTGTAGCTCTCCGAGGCACTCGGGCATTTTGCCCTGCTCTGCTGGTGTCTGTGTATGTGCCCTGATTGCTCTGTGATGAGGTTGTACCCTTCTCTGAGCAGGAGACACGCCTGAGGCTTTGTGGCTTCTGTGAGCCTGTCAAATGATGGCTGAATGACTCTTTGGTGGTTTGTGAGAAATGTCTTTTTTTTTTGGGTATTCACATGTTCTGTCAAACTCCTAGGTGGTACTGTAGTGATCAGCTTGCTTCGTCCCCTGTCCCAACTCCCTCCCCCTGTGCCCCAGATGCCCCAAGTGTTCCCATTGTCGCCGCATTGCTGGTCTTTCCCTTGAATAGGCCCTTCATTTTGACCACTGAAGCAGAGCAAAGTTCTTGCCTTGTTATATCTCAGTTTTAGAGTTACTGGAATTTGAGCTGACCTAGTTGTTTGGATTGAATTAGTCACTGTTTTTAATTTCACAAAGGTTATTAAATATCTTTGGAGTTTAGCTTTATTAATATTGATGCGTCTTGGCTTTTATTTTCGTGAAGTGTCCTCTTTGAACTCTCCTGGGCTTTGTTTCATATAAAAATTAAAACCTTAATCATGCAGTGGGAGAAACAAATACTGTGCCTGATAGAATTCAAAGGCTGGGAAAGCCTTCAGGAGTAAATTGCATCAAGTGGTGGCCGTCTCTTTAAATCGAAAGCCCATCCCTGCCAAGCAGCGTAGATTTCCTAGAGAAAGTATTTTTTCTTTGTTAACAGAGGTTTTGTATTCTACTCTGCCACCTGCTAGTCTTACTCCCAGTAAGCCTGACGTAACACTTAGTTCTTACTCATTTACTTCATTTTAACGCCTAAAACATTTCCAGTGTACCTCACAAGGTTGTTTTGGGGATTAGGTGAGAGAATGTGTTGAGAAAATGGTTATTCTCCGTGTGTTTGTAAGGAAGTGAAGGGATTCTGCTCCATGGTATGGGTGTGGTTGGGGGCAGGAGTGGGGCTGATAGTGGAGCGAACATTTTTATATTTTTGGTCGCTGTCTCCATCCACCCATGAACTCCCTTCTCGTCATAGGAGCCTGTTAGGATTAAGTACCTGACTATCCCTCCATTAGGGCCCAATTTACTTATTTATTTCTGATTTTAGAGAGAGGAAGGGGAGAGAGAGAGAGAGAAAAAGATATCGATGTCAGAAACATCCGTGGGTTGCCTCCCGCACGTGCCCCAACCAGGGGTTGAGCCCATAACCTGGGTATGTGCCTGGACCGGGAATCGAAGCCAAGGTGCTTTGGTGTACGGGACGATGCTCTAACCACCTGAACAACACTGGCAAGACTTCCCCCCCTCCCCCCGTTTTTTTTTTTTATTAATACCAGGAGGCAGGTGCCGCCCTCTTTTCTTGCCCTCTCTTGTCTCTGCAGCCTTGGCACTCCTGTGCGCTGGGTGGAGAGGAGAGCTGAGCTGCTTTGTGTTCTAGGCTCTGTGGAAAGCACACCAGGTGGGTCTGCTTGGGGGCAGGCCCGGCCAGGTCTGTGCTCCCTGGTTCAGCTGCTCTGATTGCAAAACCAGCTGCCGGTGGCGGTCAGGTTTCCCTTCCTTTGGGGGCTGCTTTCCTTCCCTTCATCGGGGGGGGGGGGGGTGAGGAGGCCCCGTTTTGGCCTGCCTTCCCCAGTCCTGCTTTTGCATTAATGAAGCTG